GAGGGGGGAGAATGACGCGCGGTGACGTCACCGGGGCCGCGGGCGGGCGGGCGGCGCCGCGCTGAGGGGGATTGGGGTTGGAGGGATTGGGGATGGAGGATGGGGGTGAGGGAATTTGGGATGGAGGGATTGGGGATGGAGGGATTGGAGATGGAGGGATTGGGGATGGAGGGATTGAGATGGAGGATGGGGGTGAGGGAATTGGGGATGGAGGGATTGGGTGAGGGACAGGTCTGAGGGGGATTGGGGTGGATGGATTGGAGGTGAGGAGACGAGACTGCGGGGACAGGTCTGAGGGGGATCAAGGCTGAGGGCGCGGGGGCTCAAGGGGCCGGTGATGAGGACTGGGCTGAGGGGACAGGGATGGTTGGGGGCAGGCTGAGGGGACAGGGATGGTTGGGGGCAGGCTGAGGGGCCGAGCGCTCTCAGTGATCGGCACTGCGGGGCTCCAGCCGCGGGCCCGGCGCGGGGAGGCTCTTCCTCCCACGGAACTGACGGGGGAAGGAGAAAAAGCAAAACCCGAAAGTTTCGTTTGGTTTTGTTTTTTTTCGAGTTCGCGAGGTGTGGGGACAGGAAGCGCGGGCGGCGGGGAGGCTCAGCCCGGTCCCCGCCGTGGGAAGCGAGAAGGAGCCGGGGCGGCAGCGGAGCCGCCTCGCCGTGGCCGCAACAAACCGGCCCCGACGCCTTTGTTTGCAGGCATGTGTTCCGAGAGAAACACGGCAGCACCGCCGAACGGGGCCGGGAGAGAGAGCGTGCCTGAAAAAAATAATATTACCCCTTCACCGTTCGAGTTTGGGAGCTGGGAGACACTAGATGATACTGTCAAAAGAATGTTTTTAAAGGAGAGTAAACTGCGTCAGTGACAGTTTGTATTTGAACACGCTGTATGACTTGTCAATAAGGCCTGCCCTTTAGATAAAGCAAAGGAAGACTCAAACCGTTCTTAATTGCCAATAATTTCGATGAAATGAGCACAAACAAGGGAACAAGCTGGTGCACCCCATAGCTCAAACAGTTTCCATGCTGATTTTTTTGGCTCAGAAGTCAACCACTGCACAGACAAGTGTAGGATGCTTGCACAGCCCTTGATTAAATCTGATTCCCACTCCCCCAAAGCTGCCCATTCCCAGTTCCCTGTGGCTGAAGAGTTGCCTATTGTGAATGTGTCACTGCAGCAGCCGCCAGCTGGCACGTCAGCATTTCCATTGCAAGCCTATTTTTAAAGGTCTGGAACTCAACCATGGAAGACAAATGTTTTGGAGTGTGTACCGGGAATGTTTGTCCTTCAGAAAATAAAAATCAGGTGGGAAAATGGAAGAGCAAAGTCACAGGTAGTTAATGTTGACAGAGAATTTATGCTTTAAATATAGAACTGTTCAGGCTGGGTC